GTAAGCCATCAGCCTTGTGATACAGTGATACTATCCCAAAACCACGCAGTCTTGATAAAGCCGAACAATTTAAACATATTCTATAAAGAAATTTCCGAATATCCAAATCAACTTCTACAAAACCAAATATTCCAACTCAAAAAGTTTTTCTAAAAGAGAATTATGGCAAAATGAATCAAATGAATTTAAACACGATTCAAAAATACTGCAATTTTGGTAGGAGTAATACGAAGAGTAATACGAATCAAACTAAAATCCAAACAGAAATAATTTTAAATTATCATAACAAAATCAGAGTACACTTTAGTACTTCTAGACAAATTGTCACACAATAGATGCGACAACCAGTAATTCAAAGGAATTCAAGACAAAATATTGCTCCATATCAACGAAGCTATACTGTGCGTTAGCGGAACATGTCGTTAGTTTGAGAATTTTGTAGAAATTGTTTGTGAAGTTTTTACATTTGCCATGGATTTCCATCAAGTAACGGCCGAGTCAATTCGAAAAATAATGTATAGGTACTTGTATAGGTACTTATTAACTAAAGAGCAGGGGTTCCGTTGAGATTTCTGCGGGAGGAAGGGGGGGGGGGGGGAGGAGAGTTCTCAGCTTTGCCACTGCATATTGCTACACATGAAGTTACATTGGGCTAGGTTTGGTAGGTCTTGAGTATTAATCGGTTCCTTTTCATCACAATATATGCTTCAATAGCCTTTTATGGAACATTATATAGATATTGCAGTTCATTGACACTGTTCTTACAACTGTAGATATATAATGAAAAACCTCAACGTTGGAATATTATAACTGATGCGTCTTGAAACATTATTTTTAGCGTATATAACCAGTCTGCTGATAACGCTGCTATCTGCTATACTGACTGAATCACCCACTTAAGTCTGACAGCAGGTTATAACAGAAAACTGTGCGTATATGATGTGTGCTGTCATCGTTCATGAAACAACCAAATTACCACCCTTGCATGATGATGCGCATACTGCAAACATGCGCATATTATATATTGTATTCGCACCTACGTTAAAGCACGATGGAAATGTTACCCAAGTATTTGTCATTTTAGGTATAGTCACTGGATTGTATTAGCATCGTCCACCAATATTCTAATTATATGAGAGTTCGGACACATCAGCTGAACTTTTCTCTTTTCCTATTTTCTATATATTACAATAGCTTGAGTGAATAAAAGAACAAGACATATATTCTGCTTTTTGTCATCTCAATTTCCCTAATAGCTCATGAGGTTAGATTTCCTGTAAAATCAATCATAGCCGCGTAGATGGAAAATAGGAATAGGGTTTAAAAACACCCATACTCCAATTTATAGCGATATGGTAGGTACTTTTCGCAGAACAACAGTTACATAAAATCTCAAAATCTTCTATTTGAATATGCGGGTCTAAAATATAGTTGCATTCTTATCTGCTGTTATGAGAAGTGCATTTTAACCTACCTCACAAATTTTGCTTTTCATCAAATCAATTTTCCACCCAAGCCGTTTCATATTTTCTTCCAAGAGAATGGGTTTGATATTTCCTTTGGCGACTTGAACAAAACTGATGGAATCCATCCTCTTCACAATTCCCACAATTCATTACACAGAAGGAGATTTTTATTCTTTCTTCTCAACAGTTTATGGAATTATATTCCAATTCTGACGTTCATAGTATTTATTGTCTAATTCAAACAATTTTGAATGAAATAGCGCGGAAAGATCATAATGCTCTCGTCACAATGCAAGGTGTTCGGATATAATCATTCATAACACTAACAGTTGTCGTTTCTGATGTGTTCGAACTCCTATCTAACTATAATACCATCCATCAGTAACTCTAATTTTAGACAGAACTCCCCTATACCATCCTATACTTACGTATACCTACCTATGACCTACGAATAGATATAATATTCCTATATGTATATCCATACTTAGTTGAAATCATTCAGCCTCATATATAGTAGGTACCTATCTATCAATTATTTTTAATCATTCATCATAAGTGAGGCGCATTTTCATATATATAGGTAGGTATAGGTATAAAACGTACATCGGAAGTTGAAAGGAGAAATGAAGGAAAAACACTCATTTTATAGCCAGTATCAATTATTCCTTTATAGGTATACTTATTATATCATGTGAATTGTGGATTCATGAATATTCAAAGTTGCACAGATTCAAATTCCAAATAAATGATGAATTCACAGCATTCCGAGCCGTACAAGTTATATTACTTATAATGTATTCACTGAATCTCCAGAATTAGTACCAGCTCCCAATATTTTACAGACGAGCGATAATATGAAACAAAAGAATTACAAGTCAAGATCAGCTAGCAGTCGATGCAAAAAGAAGAAAGAATTGAAGAGAGAACCAATGCCAGACATGAACATGAAAAAGGGGCAGACAATCGTTAAGGGGGCGTGGCCATTTGATTTGTGGTCGCCATTTTGTCAAATAGTAGTGTTTTGTGAGATGCTATATCTCATTGGAGATTTGGAGAATCTCCCACCTCCTTGGTGGCTGCTACTTCATTTCTTTTTGAGACGAATTAAAAAACTCAACTTCCTCATTCATTCAAAAAATATTTCACGAAAACTGCCATGACATAAGGTAAGATATTATAGTTACTAGAAATCTTTCTTGATTCAAATTATATATATATAATAGCAATTAGTAGATAGTAGAGCGATACGTGAAACTAACCTGATCAAAAGTGAATTGTTTGAATTGGGGAAACTTCCCAAGTTGTGAAACACACAGATGACTAAATTTTAGTACACACTAAACAATACAGAATTAAAACGTCCCTTGCACTTATTGACCCGCCTCAGTTAGTCGACTCCGCCCCATTACAAAGATCCCGCCAATGGGGCGTCGAAATTGTCCGGACTATTCCGGAGATACCCGAGCGCGGTTGCTAAGGGAAACCGATCGAAGCTCTTATCCCCAACATTTAGTGTGTCCGTGTTGTTTGACGTGCTAGTATCGACCAGCCACCGTTTAGTCTTTTGTTTTGACGGAGAGACCGTTGTTTTTGGACTTTAGTGATGTGTCGGAAGGACCTTTTTGACTGTGATGTGTGATAGTGAATTTGTTTCGAATGATCTCTATCGGATTTAAAGAACTGATCGGTGAGTACCAAACATGATTTAGATAAAGATAAGTAGTGATATGATAAAAATTATCTTTTATTCGTCATCAGGACGGATCAGGGGTCGGATATAAAATATTGATTATGTTTATTCGGTCGACGCATGTTTGAGTTGATATACACGCTATCGACTGTCTAAGACGGAAGGTAATTCATGGGCAAATTCAATCAAAGTTTCAGTTGAATATTCACTCAAGTTTTCAAACAGTATATTTACTCACGACCACATACTCGGAATTTTCTACTGCATGTATCTGACATTATTGAAGAGATGAATACCGTTAGTTATAGGTAGGTACTCAGACATTAATTAGCAGAATCAACAATTTCAGAATTTATTTTTCTAACCGCTGCCACCATCATAGTCCATAATCTAATTATTGCACCAACAACAAGAACCAGAATGATTTGAACGGTCCTTTCCCGCACTTTCTTCAATATAATTATCAAGCGTGATTTTCCCATATTGTTCATAACCAATAAGTAGGTGAATATATCTATAGGTATGGGTATATGAAAATTATCTCTTGGTCTTCAACAAACTCTTAAAACATTCAAGAACTCATGAAAGCATACTATATAAGAAGCTCAGCACCTGATGTAGTGGATAGTTTTTCACCAGATAGGTACCTAAAGGCATTGTATATTCGCATCCAGGAGAATATCTTTCCACTTCAGAGCCACTCGATAAATCATCACTTTTATAGGTCTTTCGAAAGTTATGATTAATTGCCATAAAAAGTAGGTAGGTATATGTACATTCTAAATAGAGGCATCTCTACCAGAACGGTATCGATGATCGTTTATATTTTTTGCAAGCAAGATACATATTTTTACAATATCATATGAATAAATGAATATACCTATATGTTCCACTCTTATCTTATAATAAGATAATAAAAATACACTGCCAATAACGCGAATGCGAACAAGAACAACAAAAATGGAAACAGAAAAATGGCACAAAAGAACAGAAACAATACTTCCAATATCCTTCAAAAATCCTCATGCCAATATTTCAAAAAAATCAAAACATCCCAGGGATATCTCCTCAGTAGGCAAACGAAGAAATGTCACAGAAGGACAAATACAATACTTTCATTATCCCTGAAAGACCTCTTTGGGATTACAAATCACGTCCCAAATGAACATCCTGATGCATACATTTTTAAACATCTCAAAACATACCATCAGTGATATCTCGGTGATATCTCTCGGTAGGCACACCCAAACAATTGCCATACCTATTGATAAAAAAAACAATACTTCAAGTCTCAAAAAAAAAACTCGAAAAAAAATCTTCATGCCAACATTTTCAAAACATCTCAAAACATCCCAGTCATGTTTGTTACCGGCGGCAACTGCTTATTATCACAGGAATCATCTTCGATTTATTTGTAATCGAGTTTGTTATTATATATACAATATTTCCTCCATTAATTCTCTCAAATGTAGGATCAAATGATTGACAATACAAATATGTGTTCGTTCATGACAGTAAAACATGATATGTTTTGAATCAAGATTTGATTTTTATTATCATAGTATTGATATGAAAATATCCAAACACGAACTGCTGATAATCAAATAAAGAATTTGTTCAGATAACATACCTATTTCACGAACCTAACAAATTGTCTTCACAATATAGGTACACCAAAGATAAAAACCTTGACAGATATCACACATCAAATATTGACAGAGCACTTCAATCAATAAAAATACCTGATATAATCTCTGCAAAAGAGATAAGCATAAAAAAGTTGAAAAAGATAAAATCTAACCGATAAAATTTCTCAATTTTCAGGTCGTCCACGAGTAAAAATCGAGTTGCCGTCGACCGTCGCACCGGTGCAACTGTTTGCTCTCCTATCTGCCAACTATGACCAAATTGACTAACCGCGACCTCATCATCCAGTGATCCGTAATAACCCGACCCATTGCGATTATTGACTGTTTCGCGTGTGTAGTGCTAACGAAAACTAGTAACCCATGATTATGGAGATGACGAACGAATCGGGGGTGGGACGATGGTACGAGTCCCCCAGGACCGGAACCAGCGCTAGTCCTGGTGGTCAAGGAATCGACGGTGGTTCGGACATCAATTCTACCGTCGCCGAGCACATGGGCACGTTTTTCTTGGATCCTTCGGGGTCTCAGAGGGCGAGGTACTACCATCAGACCATGCATTCGCCTTACGGGGCGCACGGTACGTTTGCTTTTGTATTAGGTATATACTTGCCTTTCAAAATATGGGGTGCGGAAAATCCGCGGGAGATAGTGATGAGCCACTGAATTACTAGCGGTGCTAGACATTTTTGGACTGACTAACTGTCCAAATTACCAGCAGTAACTGACCATTCGGACTGAATAATTGTCTAAATTATGATCCCGTAGGATTTGAGACTCGATTTGAGATATTCATACTCGTGTTTATATGAAGCAACTATAACAGTAAATCGATTCAAATCGATGATTTAATAGTTTTCATGAGAGAATTCGAAATATATTGGACGTTCAACATGATGCTGTTTGTACAACGGCAATACATATACACTTGATTAGATAACTTGATTCATCAGAGAATTTATCCATATTTCACATCGACTCTATTATTCTTATACTCTCAAATGAAAAAAAAAAGTATCATTACATGAGATTAAATGAATTGATTCATTTATTCCATTACGATAATAGTGCAGATATACTCGCGCACGACCACATTTTCTCAAACATTTGAATTATTGTAATTCAGATGTTTGTGATTGTAATTTATATAATATCCATGTGAAATGAATCGAATATTCGACTGAAATCAATGTCAGCTCCATTTCATGAATTGATGATTTGAAAGGAATTTTGATCTGATTGAGAAGTGTATGAAATACTTAAAATTTAGAAGATAGGTAATAGTAGGTTTGGTAGGTATCAATTTGTAAATTCTATTATAGACATAGTACGAGACATATTATGTATGCGTTATAATCTCGGGAATAAATACCATAATACCCATTGACATTCATAATATATATATATATATATAATAGATACCTCAGTCGAATATTTATTATGTCGATGAATTTTCATTGTTCCATACCGAAATTTGTTTGAGTCATCAATTATACCTTCTTGTTTTGTGTATCCTATACCGCCGTAAATGGAATGCCACGAATTCTCTGTTTGACTTTCCTAGAATCGAACCAACTGGCTATAGCGATATATTGTACGTGGATGCTTATAATCCAGGATATAAACAATGCGTCAGTGACAGGTATGTGATGATGACGTGTGATTCGTTGAATGAAAAGCTGGAATTAACAAACCTAAATTATTATTATCATATAAGGCAGTAGAAATCGTATCAACTTTCTGAGCCGATACATATAATGCGTATTATACGAATGCTCCAAATGCTTTGATGATGGCCTGCTGTTTTGTTCTTTGGGTCATGCTTGTTGGAGCAGCGACGAAATCTTAGAGAAGAGCGTCGTTGAAAGCGACGATTAGGGTAACGAAATTATTCTTCCTCGATGCATTTAAGTATGTTGATGGATGCTAGTATGGTTCAAGTTGTTTATTTCATTAGAAAATGATACAAGGAATGAGAGGTCTTACCTATGTCGATAGAAGACGAGATATAGAACAGCTAATACCCACTGCCTGCACAATATCTAAGGTTAGATTGGGTACTCTTCAAAATTCTATAATGATGTATGAAAATAGTACATACCGAGGTACATACCTACCAACTTGATGAACTTGATTTGTTCAATGAAGTTGCTATACTAGGTATATATTGAGATATTTTTCATTATCAAGTTTTATCAGAGTGTGTTGGTTATTAATGTAACTATAGGTACTTGTTGTTTAAAAAAAAGAGTTTGTCAAATATATTGAACTTGTCACTTTAAGTTTTGTTTCAAAATAGTAAAAGTAAAAACGTATAAGTCGCAGAAAGATGGACCTTACCAAATTAAAAATTGGACTATAAGAAGGCAAGTCGAATTGGTCAACGTGGAAGTACAAACTTTGAACGCTACTAAGAGGTATTGTCGGAGATATATGGAAGTTGTAGAAGGAACTCTCGAAGAACCAAAAGCTTTGGAGGCTGGTGCATGTGCTGGAGGTGTTACCAAGTACAATAAAGAGCTTCAGAAAAACAGAAAGTAGTGCAATGATTAAACTCACGACCAACATGACAGAAGAAACTCTGATAAAGATCATGAGGTTTTCTAGTGCTCAAGAAATATGGCAATAGCTGCACCGACTCTTCGACGAAATATCTGGAAACAAAGCTTATGATACCTGCTTACAGTTCTTCAGCTATCAGAAGGAAGCCAGTGATGATGTAGCTACACATATGTTCAAGCTTAAAAATCTTCGAAATGAATCGAAATTGGAGATCAAAAGAGAAGATGCCATAGTGTTACCAGAGCTGTTACTTTTTTGTGAAATTTTGGAAACACTTCCAGAAAACTACTTCTCCTTCAGATTCAGTTGGATGTTAATTGCTAAAAATGACAGAACTACCGACAATCTCACCAATCAATTATGTGCCTATGAGAGAGCTCTTATGCAGCAGGATAGTAGTGAATACGTTAGCCAAGAAGTGATGGTAGGAAAATCCTCACAGCAAAAGTAACCTAGTAAGTTTAAGAAGTCAATTACGGAGTGGTTGTGCAATTATTGTCACGAGAAAGGTCACAGTACGAAATTGTCCCAAATGGCATGCTGACGGAAGACCACCGAAACCAGATTCTTCGAAGACAAACTCAGGCAAGTTAAGAGCGAATATAGTACTCATATTGATTAACCAATGTTTTAAGGCCAATTATTCCGATCCTACGGCAGCTGGTTCGTCGATAATGGAGCTACAAATCACATCACTCATCTTTTGGATCTTTTCGAAACCATTGAAGAGTTCACCACTACCCATAGTGTGACAAATGCGAGGACAAATGCTAATGGTGAATCTGTCGACGCCGAGGTCGACGCCTTAGGAAGAGGTTCCATCATTCTCAAAGCAGAGGTTGCTCGAAATAGGTTTGAGGTAACTTTGAGTGATATTTGGTACGTTTCAAAAATAAGGAAAAATCTTTTCCCAGTACTAGCTGTACAAGACAAGCATCCTGATAGCCGTTTCATATCAACAGTGGACAAATCTGGATAGCGAAGTATGTGAAGGCTGCGTTTATGGAAAAGCTCATCGTAAGAAGTTTAGTACAAGAGAGCGAGCAGGTCAACCCGGAGAAATCTTTCACAATGATGTTTGTGGACCATTCCATAGATCAGTTTCAGGTTACCGCTACTATACGTACTTTTCAAAGATGACTTTTCACGTTTTCGAGAAGTGTTCTTCATGAAAAAAACAGAAGTACCTACAAAGTTAATAAAAATGCTTTGAAAAGTAAAAACAGCAGGCCACATTGTGACATTGGTGCAGAATTTGACAACCATAATGTCAAAGAAATTCTGTCCAAATATGGAATAAATCAACTTTCCACTATGCCGTATACTACTGAACAGAACGGCTGTGCTGAGAGGGAAAACAGGACATAAGTAGAGACTGCTCGAACTCTGATGCATTCTCATGGAGAAATTCCACAAGGACTTTGGTCTGAAATGATCAATACTGCCAAATATATCCTGAATTTGAGCGGCCTCTCTGGTGTTGCAGATACGTCTCCTTTGGAAGTATGGACCGGGAAGAAATCAAAAATAAAACATCTTCGAATCATCGGCAGTACCTGTTATGATCACATTCCTTAACAAAAGATGGACAGAAGAGCCATAAAGGGTATTGTAATTGATGGCTACGATGGATATGATGGTTATCGAATATTGGTGTAAGAAAAAAAATAAGTTGATAAGGTCCCGAGATGTAACTTTTGAAGAAAAAACACTTCCGACCAAAGAAATACATCTGAAGATTACTGCCGAAATGTAGTCCCAAACGGAGACATTTTGTGGAAGTGATGACATGAAAGACAATTAATCATTTTCATCGGAAGAGGAAGATGAAGTAGAAAAAACTAGTGGAGAAAATGATCAAGAGAATACAGGAAGACAGTTGCGAGAAAGATCGAAGATGAATCAGCCACAGAGGTTCAATGATTTCGTCATGTCAGCCAAAGCACACGTGAATCAAGTACCTGAACCTTCCTCATTCATAGAAGCGATGAATTTGGTATAGAAAAATGAGTGGAGGAAAGCTATGGACAACGAAGTTCAACCACTGAATGAAAATGACACGTGGACTCTAAACCGAGGGGTAAATCTCCAGGAAAAATGTGTACACCAGACTTCCAATTACCAAAGACTTCCAAAGACTTTCAAAGACTTCCAAAGACTTCCAAAGACTTCCAAAGATTCCCAAAGAATTCCAAAGGCACCCAAAGACTTCTAAAGACTTCCAAAGACATCCAAAGACATCCGAAGACTTCCAAAGACATCCAAAGACTTCCAAAGACATCCAAAAACATCCAAAGACTTCCAAAGAATCCCAAAGACTTCCAACGGAGTGTACACCAGACTTCCAAGGAGATTTACCCCTCGCTCTAAACTTCCGGAAGGAATAGAAGCACTTCCCTGTAGGTGAGTATTCAAGGTGAAAGTGAACCCGGATGGCACCATTGATAGATATAAAGCTCGTCTTATGATCGAAGAGTTTTCGCAAAAGAAAGGAATCGACTAAGATCAAACGTTCAGCCCAGTAGCAAGAGCAGGAACAATACGAGTGCTTTTGAGTTTTGCAGAAAGTGAAAGATTGATACTTATCCAGTTCGACGTTTCAACTGCGTTTCTCTATGGAGAATTGCTCGGAGAATTGGAAGGAACAATCTCCATGCATCATCCAGAAGACCTTCAAAATGGAACCAGTAGAGTATGCAGATTAGGGAGAAGTCTCTACGCGGTCTCAAGCAAGCGCCTCGTTGCTGGAACAAACGATTTGTTGGTTTTCTAGAAACGCTCTGTTTTGATAAAAGTCAAGCTGATCCATGTCCTTTCATAAAAAACACAAATTCGAGTAAAATTTTGCTAGGTCTTTATGTGGATGATGGACTAATTGCTGGTACCAATCCACAAGCAGTTGCTAAAGTTATTGAAAAGTTCGAAAGTGAATTTAAAATAACTGTGATGCCTGCGACTTTCTTCTTGGGCATTCATCAAATCGAACGATCTGACAATGGATCGATAAAAATTCACCAA